CATAGTAGCTCCAATCTTTAATTTCAGTTCAATCAGTCGAAAATCTAAGAAGATTTATACAAACTTTCATCCCCTATTTTATCCCCTTAGGGGTGGAATTTATCAAAATCCTTTCTTAGGGGATGCCTACGTCATAGTAGCTTTATGCATGCAAAGTCTCAGCCCGATCGGTTTAAAATTGACAAAATTTCATACAAACTTTCATCCCCTATTTTATCCCCTTGGGGGGTAGAATTGATCAAAATCCTTTCTTAGCGGATGCCTACGTCATAACATCTACCTGCATGCCAAATTTCAGCCCGATCCGTCCAGTGGTTTGGGCTGTGCGTTGATAGATCACTATGTCAGTCACCTTTAAGTTATATATATTTAGATTTTATCTATTTCTATCATAACAATCTCCACCAGTCTTGGTCCTATACAAGTACCCATGTTTTGGCTGTAAAATTTATCCTCGTACTCGAAATAATTATTTTCTATAACTAACGTATAGAGTTTATTAATCCATTCTGGGGCTTTAATTTTCTGCAGAGAAGTTTTATTATTATTTTTGGTTACACTTGGATACATATTTTAAATGTCTAAAGATAATATAACAATTAATAATAAGAAACTTTTATGTAAATTTTTTATCATAATTTTACTTGGGTCTTTTTTGAGTAAATTGTATCCTCCTCCTTGTATTAGATCTTTATTTCTTTTTCTTATTTGCCTTCATAATTATGGTTTTGTTTCGTTTTGTCACTTTCAAGTAATAATAAATTATTTTCTATTAGACAATTAAATAATGCTAAAAAATTATTATTATAATTTTTTTACCATGTTGATAGTAATTGTCCTGTTAATAATTAATGTCCACGTTGACAAACATATAATAAGAAATTAAATAAGGACAGTAAGGCAATAATAATACAAATAGCTGTCTTTATCAAGAAGCATAACTGATTTGGCAATGTGGTAGTTTTATTATTGAATGAAATTATTCTAAAAAAATATGCAATAGCTTTTGACCAATTCACTGACTCAGCTCAAGTGATAAATTTTCTTTGTTACAAGGAATTATTTGCTTTGGATACAGTTATGAATAGGACATTAAATTTTTCATAGATGTTGATGCCTAAAGATAAATTTTGTGAAGCAGGATTGAAACTTGATAAGTGTGTGAGATAATCAAATGACAAGGGTATAAGTATAAAACAAAGAGCTGCTGTTTTACACTCATTAACTGAAGAGTACTTTGAGAAACATGACCTTACCCTGAAATTAGTATTTCAACCTCGTCTTGTTGATTTCTCTAAGGCACCTGACAAACTACAGATGGAATTTAGCTCTCCGAAGACACTATTCTTAAGTCTCTTTTTGATGCCAAGAAAGATGCTCTTGAAACATGGAAAAATATAATTAAATACTCAATTTACATAAACATGCAAAACAGGAAAGCATTCAATGAGCAAATACTTTTTTACGAGTTGCATTTTCTTGTCTTGTACAAATTAAATTTCCTTTCCTTTGAGGGCTCAGATGACAGATATTTACATGGAAGACAAACTATGTACTGTACTGTACTGTACAGCTGTATTTGAACCAAATATACCCTTGTCATGTGGTATGCAGTCATTATTAAAACTTAATAATTACTAGCTGTTACCCGCAACTTCATCCGCGAAGGTTTTGAAAGCAAACCCCATTTACATTCAATATTTCAATAACCATAGTAATTGTTATATAACACCTACCGCTGAAGAGAATTGCCGAGAATCAAACGAACTATCTTCAATTTGATCAATTTTCTGGAACATTTACAATCGTTCTATAATCGAACCAATATGCAAATTCAAATTTAAAACGGTTCGAACATTTTTAAAATCGAAATGGATAAAAATATTTATAACAATGTCTGAAATGTTATCAATTAATACACCTAAGTACTTGATGAAGACTATATCCTCTCCCTCACCACCCGCAAGGGAATTTCTAAAAATCCCTTAGTGTATATTCTCATGGCATACCCTACAACAATGCAGATAAAAACAAAAAATTGCATCTAAAATAGCACAGTAGAAGCCGTTCTTCCGGTTAAGCTTTAATGCTCTCCCTCACCCCCCACTTGGGAATTTCGAAAAATACCTTCTTAGCGTGCGTTTTCATGACGTACCATAACTGTCTACCAAATTTCACCTCTTTAGGTCCAGCAGTTTGCTCTGGGCGATGATGAATCAGCGAGTCAGTCAGGACAAGCAATTTTATATATATAGATAAATTCAAAACACAGTAAAAGAAGTACAGACATGTGCATTAAATGTTAAACTTGACACTTATTTAGTAAACAATGATTCTGTATTCATAAAACATGATACAATGCTGCTGCATAAATGCATGTATTTTGTTTTTTATATAAAAGGCTAGTAATTCCTGTAATAATAATAAAAATTCCACCAGCAATGCATTATATTGGATATTATGAAAGTTGCACTTCTTATACAGTAAGCATCACCGGGTAACTCACAACGTAATAAACTGAATTATCTGGGATTGCGTTAATTCAACTGGGATGCCAAAAATGAACACGGGTATTAAGTTACCACAAATTGATTGACTTCTCTGCTTTGTAGTCTATTGGTCAGGAGGGAGGGCAGGGATGATTTGTGTGTTGTTTGCCTCATGCGTACTTGTTCTGTATACCAGGTGCGAATAATGCTTTCCCTTTCACCGTGAATAACTGAAAGTCTACTATACATTATAAATTGTAGTTCATTTGTAAGACGCACGTTTTGATGGGCTATGAAACTGATTAGTCATGCCACATGCAATTCAAGCAGCGGTCCTACACGAGAATAATTTTAAATCAAAAGCTGTAGTTCCCTGATTTGTGAGCACGTCTGTTAATGCAAGAAAACACAAAACATCCAAAATTGGTGAAAGATATATACTTTACTAACTTTGTATACATACATACCCACCTGCACACATTAAATGTACAAATCTCACACAAACCAGAATGTACAAATTTATGTACAGACATTATTCTGTTCCAAGATGTTTCGTTAATTGAACACATACGATTGGGTTGATGTATAATTATTTTTTTTCTAAATGCAATACATCAGAAATATAAATTACAATGGGAAAAATGAGGTTCCAGTTTAGGACTCTTACAATCTCTAAATAAATTAATTCACACTTAATTCTAAATTTTTAAAGAAATTAAATTTAAAGTACAAAATACAAATGGAATGTCATCAGACAGCAAATTCTGCTTTGGTTTCAGAAAGGAGGTCAGTCTTTCTGCAAGCAAAACGTAATTTGGATCAGGTTTTGTTCGAATGTCTGCCGACAGCTCAAAATAAAACGAAGAACGGGAGATTGAGGTGTGTGCAAAACAAAACTTGAAACCTTGAATATCACATTGTCGACAATGAATACGGTTCATTTAAAAATGTTTAGTGTTAAGCGAATAGTATAAAAAACAGACGAGACGTCATATCACACACGAGCGACAACTTTCTGGGGTCTTTTTTTTATTTTTTTGGTGAATTTTTAACTAGGAACTAACAATATTCTTAACAATTTAATTAAATAGTAATTCATAAATAAGTTTCTACCAAAAAGACGCATTTTTCAAAAACTATGTACACATCTTTGGTTATTTTTGTGTGTGCTATAACAACAGAAAATGTGTTTGCTTACATTATATACATACATTATAATTTCTTAAAACACAGAAGAAAAAGATATTAAAATGCGATGATTACCCTTTGAGTCAGCTTTCCCCCCACATCTTAATATTTTAGATACCTTAGAATGGCATTTGATTTTTCCAGAAAGAATAGAGTTTTAAATTTTGATATGATAAGGTTCTATATATGTATATAAATGCAATGGATGCTTAATATTATTAAAGATAATCAGAAAATTGATATGATTTTAATTAATTTTGAAAGATCTTTCCCAAAAAACAGAATATTTTTTTATTTCACTAAAGCAGCAAACAGAATGATTATGCTAATTAAGTGCTTTAAATTTTTTTGTCGTGGAAGACAATCCATTTTGACACTTACTACTTTGAGAATTACTTAAACAATTAAACTTTTTTCTCATAGAAGAATCTGGAATGTTTTCTAGAAGCAGTGAAGCTTCTATAAATTTATTTTCCCCTTGATAATTTAATCTTGTGACAGTTTAGTACTTAAATTACCATATAAATTCCTTTCATTTGAGAACCAGAGTCATCGAACGCATATTTAAATAACTTATGCAAATCCACAAGACAACTTTTAAGTATGTGAAAGACGAAAGAATTTCTGACAAAGTAATTTGTTGTTATTATTATTTTTTAAGTGTGACACAATATAATATCTAAATGAAATTGCACGTTAGTTCGGTCGTCACAACACAACTTGTTTCTCCTTTTCCTAAATTTTCTGACCTATTTTTCCATTTTTGTTTTTCAAATATCACAACTTTTCTTATTCAAAAAACATATACGTATATACGTATGTTTATTTCTTCTCCCCTCACAAAATATTTAAACTAAGACTCTATACATGGCTTCAATTTCGGATATAAAAAATTTTCGACATTCGGGACGTTTTGTTTTTAGAGTGGGAGTGAGCAAACCGTTTTCTACTGTGAATAATTCTGGGTGTATATAAATATCCTTTGCCTGTAATCACAAGAGATAGAAATTATAACGTTTCTTGCACTATTACATCATTAAAAAACTTATGAGCAAATTCTTTACCTGTTCGAAAGAATTGAGGCCGGCTTCTTTCCCTAATTTGGCAAGATCTTCCAAAATTGTCTTCTTAACAATCTGTAAAATGTAGAAATAAAGCAATAAGATATTGAATTTCTAATTTTTGTATTAACAAATATAGCCAAACTAAATACATTTAGATATATTAAAATGTGTACAACTTTCAAGACTTGTAATAAAGGACATAAAGTGTTGTAGAAAAACATTTACAAGCATCTTACTTTAGTTAAGGACTCGTTATATCAAGGAGAAGAGTGCACAAAAATTAGAGTACGACAATCACTTTCCATATATTTATTGTAACACAAAGTCTGTGTTACAATAAATTTCTTTAAGAACTGATTGTACAATTTTTCTTCTTCCTTGTTCTGGCTTCCTATTATAGCTTTTCTATAAACCAGATGCCCCTGTCATTGGTGATAGTGCTCTAAATAAACCTGAAAGAAGGTCACTGTGTTTCATTTTTATAGATTAAAATTTTCAGTTGCTTGCTTTTGTCTAAGAGATCCTCATGAAAAAATTAGAGAAAAATCAAGATGTTGCTGACACGTCAGATTAAGGTCAACAGGAAAGCTCAGATGATAATATTTTGCCAGAGAGAAAATGTTTTTGTTTAATAATTTTTTTCTTCATTGCTAAACACTAATATTTACATGCAATACGTTTGATTGCTTTAATAAAAAAATATATTTCTTAAGATTATACATACAGAATGAGTCAGTTTCATTTGGTCCCTTCACATGTTGTTGAGTTAGTAACAATTTCTTGGCGCAGTCAACCATCTATTGTAGGCTACTCGTCAGCCATCCAATGCAAAAAAGTTAAAATAGTCCTCATTGTTATTACTTCAATAGCATGTGAAGGGACCAAATGAAATTGAATCATCATGTATGTAGTCTCAAGAAATATATTTTTTTTGTAAAAGTAAATTCGTCCCGTCAATTTTTAAAAATGGTTTAATAAACTTATTTCTCTTAATTATGAAAAAGAATACTATACTTTTGTTAACTTTTGGAACCTAAACCTATGTTTTGTACTCATTCTTTGTTTTATATAGCACGGATTTACATAACATAGAAATTTTTTGTAACCTAACTAATGTGTTGTACAGGGGATATCTGTACTTATTTAGAAATAAGTATAGATATATATGTATATTAGAAGAATGACTAAATTTGTGTGTGTTAACTTAATTGTCATATTTTATATTATTCACCTCGTTAAATAATAATCTCAAATGCATTTTTTGGTATTTCTAGAAATTGAGAGAGTAATAAATAATAATGCTGTTATTGTACAAACTGGATCATTTTTATTATTTAAGTCTATTTCTGAATAAATGTCACAAGGTAGATCAAGGTAACGTAGATACAAATAGATTGCAGGGCAGTTATAATTGGATGAAAGTTTTCTATACATATAATACAAAAATAAAAAAAACTGTTTCACATTACATATTGCAAAATTAATTAATTAAATGATGAACATATTTTGAAAGAGGAAAAGGATTAATTACAGAAAAATTTGGTGTGTGATGTAATACACTTAAATAGATCAAATCTAAATGATTATTTAATTAATTTACAATGTTAATGTAATTAATGCTAGAACTTTCATAATTTTTTTATGAAATTTGAAAACATGGGTGGTCTTTGGTTAGTGCAATGAAAACAGCATGTTAAAAAATTCACAAAGTGCTTATTGATGACTGTTATACTAAAAGAATGTCACATTACTGTATATAGTTTCACTAGAGTCACATTAAGGATTCTAATTATAAATGTACAATAATCCTTTCTTATAATCAAATATACATATTAGTGAGATTTATTCAGTTTATTTTTTTAACAAACAACCCTATAAATATTGAATTCTTAGTATGATATCATTAACATTTATTCATGAATATAAAAGCCCAACAAAGATGAGATGAGGCCCATATTGGTCACATTTGCAAGGCACCAATAGTAAAATAGCCTTTAGATAAATATTCAATATTTTGATTTTACATAACTTTACAAATGTTTGGTTGCAAAAGTACATAGAAAGTATGCATGGGAAATACTTTCCACTTTGGCTTTTAAGACTTTTATAATTCTCTTCTGGAAGAGAAATGTGAAAATTTAGAACTCCCTTCTTCATATACATTTTTATAAAATCATTTAGATCAAGGTTATTAATTCTAGCTGACTTTTCCAAAGTTTATAGGATCTCAAATTATTTTGACCATTTCATCTCCAAGTACATAGAAAGAACAAATTTTCAGAACTTACACTGGGGAGTATGAACACTTTATTTTGCTATTATACCAAATGCAATTTACTATACCTAGTTTTTGTTTTATAGATTTCACTGGTCTATACAACACACACTTTACAATATGGATTTGAGACAAAAAATATTAGCTCAACATTAAATTCTAATAATTATTTTTTGTTGTTAAGTAAATTTGATGAAAATGTAAAACTTTCTTGTTATTAATTTCTTTGCCTATCTCTACAACTTTTTATAAACAAATCATGAGTCTTTAATGCTATTAAGCTTACTAAACTAAAGTTTGTACTGAATAGTTGCACTGTGACAATGACTAAATATTGAATCTTGAATAGTAAACAACTAAAATAGAAAGATAACAGTTAGTGTGATTGATTTACAAAGACAAATGTTAAACAAAAAAACACATTTTTGTAGTTGTTGTTGGCACTGTATATTGTTATATGAACTAAAACAGCATTGGATACCATCTTAGTTCATATAACAATAGTGATTAATTTCTGACAGTTTTAAATTTTATATAAATATAAATCATAAAGCAATTAATCACTTCACCTTCCAAATTTATTTTATGTTTGAAACTAAGTTGAAATTTTGAAACTAAGTTGAAATTTTGAAACTATGCATCCAAAGTTTGAAGACTAATTTAATTTGTATTTATTTATAAAAGATATTCTATCCAATTTTTATGTACAGTAGAGCCTCGATTATCCGACCCCCGATTAACTGACACCTCGGTTAACCAACCATCCTAGTCGGCAAATTTCAAATGTCTGCTAGTGATGTGACGCTACAATATTTGGCTATGTCATGGCCACTTTAATATTACTTTTACGTGTTTTAGCTGGCAACACTCATTCGACCATGAAAGGGAGCCAGTATTTAAACGAGGCTTAATTTTTAACGATACAATAGTGACGATTATTATTTTAAAAAATTTTTGTTAGGCTTAACATCGATGAAAATTCAACGCGAAGTAGGTTTATAGCGATATACTAATTATATGGCACTAATTACATGGGATATAATAATATACTACACTAATAATGGATTTTTTCATACTTTTCAATTATCCGACCAACCCCAATTGAGTCGGATAATCGAGGCTCTACTGTACTGCACTGAGATAAACAAAGTTAAATGATAAATCTGCTTTTGATTATTAACATCTGACTATTTTGCTAAGTAGAAAGATGTAAAGTACCAATTATTATTTAAATGAATAGTTTTACTATTTTTTTACAGAGTAAACAATTAATTAATCAAATTGTTGTCAAAGGTAAAACCAGCTCATAAAAAGCAAGTATATTTTAATGTTAACCTTTATTACATTATAATGCATTTCAGGTGCAAAGTCTGTTTCACTCGCACCCCTCTTCAGGGAAAATATTCAAATGATTGATTTAAATTATATTACAAAAAATACATCTGTATGTTGTTCAAAAATAACAAACTGACCTCTTTTGCTAAAACATACAACGCTCCACTTTTTCGATATTCTATCATCATTCTAACAGCCTTTTGTCTGTTTTCATGCTATTTTAGCTTACCACATCTGCACACGTCATCTATCGCCATCCCATTATTGAGATTAATAGTGCCATGTGTACTTACAATTGCAAAATTTTCCTTGAACCTTCGTAAATACTTATCTTTTTCTTTGTGAATTATTTTTACATTATTATTATTATTAATTAAACAACTGTATTTATTACAATCAGATGTCCATGGTGATTGGTTATTTTTTAAATGAATTATTGTTTCATGTTCTCTTACTCTAGTCCTGAATTGTCTTCCTGTTTCACCTATGTAAATTGCTGGTTTATTATATGTACATTTTAACTCAAACTATGCTAAATAGAAGTCATATTTCTTTATTTTTGATTTTATTATTTAGTTTGGCTGCTAGTACTACTGCATATTTTTCGTATATATCTTTAATGTAAGGGAATGACATATATATATACATATTATTGTCATCTTTTTTTATTTTTAACATTAAATCTGTTTTTTAAATAATCTACTGGGGTAAATGTTTAATATAAATGCATTTTTTTGCAGAGGCATAGCCTCTAAAGAAAGGTCGTCTCATAGTTATTTGTGGTGATTGGACATGGTGAAAAGAAGACATTTTTAGTGTCTGTTTCATATTTTTATTAAAATAAATGTATTTATTAATTCACTTTGTTGTTTTTCTCTATCTTCTGTTTTACATGTTATGATCGATATCTTAGATAATGTCACAAAATTATTTCTTTTAATTGTTATAGGACGATATGATTTAGAGTTTAGATTTTTATCCACATTGCAGCTTTTTTAATAATGTTTTATATTAAGTACATTTTTCCTGCGATTTATAGTTATGTCTAAATAATAATTAATTTCACTTTCAGATTTTAAAGTATCGCTAATGTATTCATTGTAATAAGTATGGATGTTTAATTAATAATAATAAAGTAAAAATAATTCACAAAGAAAAAAAGATAAGTATTTACGAAGGTTCAAGGAACATTTTGCGATTGTAAGTGCACATAGAACTATTAAACTAAATAATGGGATGGAGATAGATGACATATGGGCAGATGTGGTAAGGCCAAAATAGTGCAAAATCAGACAAAAGGCTGTTAGAACGATGCCTTTAGGGTAGAATATCAAAACAGTGGAGCATTGTATGTTTTAGCAAAAGAGGTCAGTTTGTTATAATGTAAATGATTTGAATGTTGTATTATTTTGTAATATTTTTGAACATCTGTATGTTTTTCCTCATTTAGATGTGTATTACCTGAAGAGGGGGCAAGTGAAACAAAATTTGCACCCGAAATGCATTGTAATGTAATAAAGGCATAGTTAAAAAGACAACGGTTATCTTCTGTCTTAAAAAAATTAAAAACTTCAAAGGTTAAAATGTTGTTTAAAAAAGTAAAAAACTGCACCATAAATAAATAAATATATTTTACTTATACAAGAACAATTCAAGTTTCTTATTCTGTGAACAAGAATATTTAAATAAACTCAGAACACTTTAAATCTGTGTTAAACATGTTTTCCAACTGCACATCAACAGAATGCAATTGAAACAATGTAATATATAAACCAGGAGAAAAAATGTATGACTGATGAGTGTATTATTTTAATATTAAACTGTAAAATTAGAGCAACAAAACAGCTGTAAAAGAAATTAATTGTTGTTACAATTTGTTGTTATTCTCATTACTATTGCATTTGTGTTTTGTAAAAAAAAAAAAAAATAGAACATTTATGTTTCAAAATATAAAAATTATCATTTTGCATAATTGATTTAACAATTCTAAACCATAAAATGAAAAACTAACCTTGTTTTTGCACATTTCATCCCAAGTGTCATTGATGGAATGGTCTAAGCACCACTGTTCTAAAACTTCTCTGTCAGGTACGACAATCCCGACGAGACAAGACTGCGTAAAAATGGTTCAATGTAAAATCAACACAGACCTTTTTAAATAAGATACTCAAATTTGAATGATTTGATTTACCTTTAGAGATTCTCCGTGAATAAAAATTTGTGCAACAAAAGTACTACGCGAATAAATATTTTCTATTTTTTCTGGCGCTACAAATTCTCCTTGGGCTAATTTGAAAATATGATTTTTTCTATCTATAATTTTCAAGGTACCATTCTGGAAAAGAAAAGCTTTGATTCTTAAGCATTTTCCATAGGCAACTAATTATTTTTAAAAAAATAACTTATAAACACTACTCCATTGAATGTTTTATAACGATTAAGATGAAATTTTCTGTATTATTGATTTGTACTCTAGCTTGTTAGTAAACTTAATTTTAATTTATCTATTATACAACAGGAAGACGTACAGGTAACCACATTCCAATGTCGCCGGTATGCAGCCAGCCTTCTTTGTCGAGAGTTGCTGCAGTTTTCACTGGATCTTTTAAGTAACCTTGAAAGACTGTTGTTCCTTTAACACAAATCTAAAGAAAAAAAATATGTAATTATAATTAATTTGATTTGTTAATGCAAGACATGAGTGTTTTCTTACATGGCTTATAAGGGGAAGCTCAAACATGTTTATTCTAAGGCATAAAAAAAGCATCCTGTAAAGCTGTAGGTTCCATCTTTTCTATTTAATTCAAAAATAATTGCAATTTTTATGGTCATGACAGCAGATCACTTTTGGACCCAGGGAATCAACAGATATTAAAAAAATAATTTTCATTTATGTGGATTATCTGAAAACTGAGCTTGAAATTTAAAAAGAAAATGCCAATTTTCTCAATAAACTTTAAATTTCTTCAATGTTTGATAGTTGGCAAGCAGTAAGAGTTGTAAGATGTAGAGCATTCACCTGCAGATTCTGTAGTCGCATTTTAATGCTTGCTGAAAGATTTTAATTTTTTTTTTTTACATTTCTCACTATAAACTGTGATGATTTTGAGCTATTATTATTTTCAGACAAATAATGCAAAGTAATTAAATAAAAGGAATATAATTAGGAAGGTAGTGAATTATTCAGATAAAAATCTAGCAAAGTGTTGCTTAATTTTAACAGCAACACTTAACAGATGGTGCCACATGCAATTTTATGATATTTTATTAAAAAACTAAGCTTTTTGCTAGTTTAGAATAATTGAAAATATAATTTTGAGTGTAGGGATGGTTTTATAAAAAAATTGCAAATGCTAGTAACGAGGAAATTGTCATTAAGTCAGACCCTACTTGAGATACAACACACAATCCCCTTTATTTCTCCACCCCCTCAACCTCTATCCTTCAAAATTGAACAGAATCAAACATCCTAATACAAACCTTCCTTCAATTTTTCAGAAATTTAACAAAAAATCACAGGAGTTAATAAGATTCAAAGAGGACAAACAAAATAGTGCACCCCCCACACACACAATTATAAAATCCCCAGGTTAGCGGTTTACCTCTGGCAATAACCCCTATCACTTGCCAACCATCAAAACATTTGAGGTATCAGTTCAGAAAATTGGCTCTTTTTATTATTATTATTATTTCAAACTGTCAGTTTTCAGACATAATTCACATAAATAAAAATTGTTATTTCAATATCCGTCAATTCCCCAGGTCTGAAAGCAATTCAGCATAATCTAAAATTTATGTTTTATTCAAGAAAATTGCAAAGTGAAACCTACAACTTACAGGGGAAACTTTTTAGTACCCCAGATTAGCCATGCAAAAGTTTATCCTAATTTGTACAATACATTTTTAAGTCCTCTTGTTACTCTCAATAATGTCAATTAGTGGCATCCACAATTGGATCAATAAAATATAAATAAAGAATAATAAAAATCAAATATTTTAAATGGATAGTATATAATTGGAATGGATCCGAACTCAAAATTCTTCATACTGATAGCTGATTATTGTGCGGTAAATGAATATACAATGTACAGAGTACAAAATATTAAATACCAATGATTAATGAACTTAATCTTCATGCAACAATTGTGTAAAATCATCATTAGCTAAATATATAAATAACCAACTAATTATTTGTTGGTATATTCATAATTGTAAATATTAACATATTAGACACTTATTGAAAGATAAATTGCTGAACATAAATCAAATATTTCATAATATTCATCAGGAACAGGAGTAAGAAAATTTAGAAGTCTCTTTTGAAAGAATTCTAAATTCTGAATTTTTAGCACTAATAATCAACCAACCATCAGCCAAATTAATTGGGCAGAAATTATGCTACAAATATTAGAAATTACGTGACAAGAACTAGTGCATTTATATTTAACAAATCAATAGTTTATTACAAACCACATGTATTATATACTGTTATTTTCATAATTCTCTTTAAAGGAAAACACTTTTAAATGAGACATCACAATCACAACAAAGGAAGTTCTCCAGGAATCATTTGAATTCAGAATGTAAACGATAGTTGGACAATTGAGGGAGCAAAGATTCAGTCTGTTGCAACAATGGAGAATTCAAGTTAAGGCTGCATGTTAAAATTTTCAATAGTTTGACTGGTGTATAAGATTTTCAGAAAATTACTGTCTGGTGAAAAATTTGTTATTAACATTATACATATGATATTGCATACAAGACCTTAAGTTGTTGCAATACTGTATGGTCAACTGGTACTGAATGGACAACTAATATACACAGTGGTGCCTTGACTTACAAGTGTCCCAACTTACAAGTTTTTTGAGATACAAACTGTCTCTTTGCCGATCTTTTGCCTTGTTGTGTGCGTTACCATTGTCTCTCATTTTCCATCTTTTCTTTCTTTATCTGTGCAGCAAACACCACAACATCCACAAAACCAGTTTATTGCAGTACATCCGATTGTGTTTTTATACAATATTCATTATATACAAGTACATTTTTCTTATTTAAAAACATGTAACAAAAAAATTGCAGTATTTCGAGGGGTCCAGAACATATTAATGGTATTTCAATTCATTTCAATAGGGAAAATTGATTTGACATACAAGTAATTTGAGTTACAAATTCCATCGCAGAACAAATTAAACTCTTAAGTCAAGACACCACTGTTTGTATATGATATTGCATATGAGATCTGTAACTTTAATGTCGTTACAAATTTCTTGTTGCTTCAGACACCAGTCATTTCAATATTAACAATTCCTTCTTCTCATTATCAAATACAGAAAATTTAAGTTTCTTTCTTGAAAACAACCAATATATAACTCATCTACCTCGGAAGTTTTTTCCATAAATGCTACATCATCCCAAAAAGAATACAATAGCAATTAAGTTAGTCTGATACTCTTTTTGAAATGTTAACGTACTGAGTGACATAAGTTATAAACAATTTATGTGGCTACAAACATACTGTATTTATGAAAATAGTATAAAATAATAAATTTCTACAAAAGTAGAAATCCCAGTTTAAGATTGTCACTAAAATCAAATTAATTGTATAAAAATTATACAGAATTTACTATTGTGACTCAATATCTCACTTATATGAACTGCTTTAGCATGGTTCATTTTAATGTTTGGTGAGTTGTTTACACTACTTAATTACTAATTATTTTTAATTGTATATTACATAAACTAAGTACTTTTTTAAATAATTCCTATTAGTAAAATATACAAATTTTCTTCATTCTGTTGATTTGATAGTATGCTTTAAGAAACCCTCTTTAAGTGAACTGATTAAAACTATAACTGTTCTATAACTGATAATTGCATACAATAACACTTTCAAAGAATAGTTATGCATTTAACTTTGATTTTTAATAATATTTGTTTGAATAAATACTACTCAAAAAATTGCATAATAGTTTATATACACTTACCTCTCCTTTTTTCTCGCTTGCAAAGTATTCCATTTCGGGGACATCTACTAACTTCACACTACAGCAAGGCAGAGGTGGACCCACGTGATCTAAAAATAATTTGCAAATAATTGATGACACTAGATTCTCTTAACTTTGATATATGACAACATACAAAAATACAGCAGAAACTGCCATATTTCCTTAATTGTAAGATGTGCCACAAGTTTGAAATCAAATTTTTAAATATTTTTATGGAAGGAAAAAAAATTAATTTAAGCAGTTATCAAGTTTTGTTAAATAACAAGTTAAAAAGCAATACGAAATACCATGAAACATAACATGTTTGACATAACTATTTTCATATTCCTCTGAAGAAGCATTAAAACAAATAGGATGCAGCATTAAAATGAAAAACAAATAGTTCCAAAAGCCATTTCAAATGTTAAAAAAGGAGGTTTAAATAAAATTCATTACCAGCAAAGCTTATTTAAACTGACATAAACATTGATTACACTGGGGGAACAAAATAAAAGTTTTTTTTGGCACACAAATGAAAATACCTGATCCTAATAGAATTTTTATGCTATTTTCAAATATATAAACAGTTTTTCTCCATCACATCTTTTTTTTTGTGACAGTTTAAATGTAAAACATATTTATTTAGATTTAGACCAGCGGGATACGCCAAGTTTCCCTTCAAAATACTGTGTGTGTCCTGTCCACAGTCTGTCTAATGTTACAGTCATCCTTCTGAAGAAGTAGGCTCATGATCATTTATGATCATACACAGAAAAAATTCAAATTGTGGGTAGTGGGAAATTTAGCAGGAATTATGTATTTATAGTGAAAGTTTAGCAAATTTTTCTGACACGTAAAAAATATGAATAATTTATTCCATAAACATAGAAAAATGTACATATAAAATCTAATTTATTTGAAAGGTTTTATTGCAGAAAAGTGAGATTCATTTTAGACTCAACATTCCTTCCAATTCCTTGTCCAAATATGTATTTGAGAATCCAAAAACAATAGATTTTTGAACATGTAAATTTATCTTATCTAAAATTGTCAGGGAAGAAATCCAGATGGGAATCCAAGAAATGCATTTTGAGGGACATATTATATCCCATATCTTTGTAAGATCCCATTCACAATTTCGCAGTAATTTGGAGCTTTGTGATTATCAAAGAAATTTTGCACAACATCTTTGAATGACTTCCATGATGACTTTTCAACTGTGCTTAAAATACTCCTAAATTTACAGTCTTGGTTATGTGGCCCAAAATAAAGACATCAGCTTGCTGCTCATGAAATACTTTTGTTCAAGTCCCTGTCAGAAACCTTAAAATTTTTTTTGTAATATCCTGGCTTTGTCAGACCCTGTTCACAGCCATCATTTGACTAAACTCACAAAGGGCATGATTAGAAAGAACCTCTAAGACTAAGAATGCACATGTGATTTTCTGTTGCATAATGAAAAATTGCATGTCAATTCCTAGGCTTAAAAGAAGCCTGGTTGCATCTTTTTAATCATTTCAATTATTTGGCACCCTATGTGCATATCCATATTAAAAAGTGTGTTTCATTTCTGCAACTACAAAACTGTGTGCTTAGTGCCCACAGAGTAGAATTAAACTGTGAAACAAAACATTAAATATTCTTGTTCTAAAATTTTACAATGATTTTTTTAAATATAAAATACAAAATGTAATTATGGATATTCTGAATATAAAATTATAATAAAATATAAAAAGTTGTGAAAATATTTTAAAAATGTAAAGCACTAAGGCAATAACTAAATTATCACAATCATACTGAAACAATATCTAGAATCATTGAATACAATATATAAACATTGAAATTAAGAGCAAAATTCAACTAAATTAAAAAATCAATTACACTAATTTCACTGTAAGAAATATAATAGTTAGCAAATGGAATAGATGTAAGAGTATAAGATCTATAAAAATCTAAGCATCCTCATAAAGCTGACTAGATAAACACAAAACAACTGGCATCCAATGAATTAATATACTTTTCTCTGACTGCACTTAAATAATAACCAAACTTCAACACTAACCTTTAAAAATGCAGCCTTTTTTTATTCACTTTTCAAACAACAAATCAAATAATTCCAAATTTCTATATAGAAATTTGATTTGTTGTTCCTGAAGGTCATTCAAATAGCCAAAAACATTTGAAAAGTAAATAAAAAAGGTTGCATTTTTAAAGGTTAGTGTCAAGTTTTGATAACGAATTAATAATTAATATAAAGATTTTTTTATAGAAACTTTCAAAAAGTCAAAGTTCCTCTTCAGAATATATATCACAGGTACTAAATCAATTATATTTAATGATCATTTCATTTACTTTTCATGGAAATGATACATTTTTAGTAAACATTTCCCAAAAAAATAATAAAATAAAAAGTTCCAAAATAAATATTTGTAATGTAGTTTTTTAACTCTACATAATTTTGTCTGTGGTGAGTCAGGAGTCGTATGCGGGGGAAGCAGTTACATTCAAGAAGTACTCACAGAGAGTAATATATTGCTTCTTTCAAGAAATGGATATTGGAAACAGGAAACATTGTTTATTGGAGTTTGGTTGTCTATTACATAAGAGACAGGAGTAGCCAGTCAGTCTCAAGCTTTGATACTTTCACCATTGTTGAGTGTTTTGCTGTCTTTTGGAGTTGCAGTCTGATAAAGTATTTGCACACACTACATTTTTTAACTTCCTAAAACAAGAAGCTTTCTTTTTAGTGTATTACTTCTACAGTGCAAAGTTTTATATATTTTTGCTCTTCAAAAGTCTGTATGTAATGAAATTTTTATAGTACCTCTTGTTTATTTTTTTATTTTCTGTTATTTATGTTTTGTTTTTAACTATGTTATTAATATTTCTACTCTAATTTTTCTAAACATTAGAAATATATATATAGTTTAATCAATCATTCAATGTTTTAAAGACTTTATAACCACTTATTCTTTTAGGATAAAATAAAACGATAAATCAACATACCAACATCTGGATCTCCTGGGATTGTTAAAGTACAGGGTGCTACACATTCTGTTTGTCCATAGCCTTCTATTACCTAAAATAAAAAATCTATTATTGATTTCTAAAGCTATTTTTTGAAGACAAGTTTCCAGTATAAATCTAAATTATAATTATTTGAAATAAAAAGCATACTAATGACAAAACACTTATCATCCAGACCAATGCTACCACAGATAAAATGAATAGCCATGGCCATTTTGGATTAAAAATTATGAATAAAAAAGATACTTTTTAAGCCACTTTTTACACCTTATTGAATTTAATCTATTACACAGTTATAACTGTTGAACATATATTAAGGATTACAATGTATATTATTGAAGTTATCATAATATCAAATTTGATCTGTTTACTGCATTTACTTGAATGTAAAATGCCATCAAATCTAAGATGCACCTTAAATTTTACATGCTCACCCAAGGATTTATTTTGAAAAAATAGAAAAAAGATAAATTATGTCAACAGAATCAGCTCCATTGACAAAAATTTGTTCAGTATTTATTGTACAGTTAAGTAAGTTATATATCATTGTCTTCCATAGTATCAAAGTTGAAAATCTCTTCACTTTCTATGTCAGACTATTCTAAATCAACTCTATTTGATGTTCAAGTCTTCCCACATGCAATCATCCTAGACGCCATTTACAGCACTGAAAATGTAACATTTCTTTAAAGAGATCTGCATAACATTTTCTGTGATTTTCATCCAACTATAGTTTGTCTATGGAGAGAATCAATTTTGATATTAACCAATGAGAATCAGCCATTGGTCACATAGTTGTGGCAAATGACTTCCAGTTTCTTCTACATTTGTTAGACATGTCACCACATTAAAAACAGTATTATAAAAGCTTCATATTGGGTACTGGAATATGAAGTTTGCTATGATTGTTAAATGCATTCTTTTACAGTTACCACATGCTATAAAAAATTAACATAATTAATGGAAAAGTCATTCTGCCCATCTAGTGAGAGAATAAAATCCAGCAATGAGTTGATTTGAAACATTTGAAATTTTGATGGTGCCATCTATTATGATATTTTATTGAAAAACTTTTTACCATTTTATAATAATTAAGAATATAAAAAGCTTAATTTTGAATGTAGAAATGGGTTTTATAAAAAATTGTAAATGCTAACAACAAATAAAATTGTCATTAAGTTTGACCCTACTGGATATATGACATACGATTCCTCTATCTCCCCACCCTGTCAACCTTTAACCACCACATTTTAACAGCATCAATCCCCTAATACACAAAACCTTACTGCAAAATTTAAGAAATTTCGTCAAAAAACACATGAGTTATTAAGCTTCGAAGAGGATGAACAAAATTGTCTCCCCCACACACTAATATTTCTGCATATAGAGAAAAAAAACACCAAAATTTTTTGCATTTCTCAACATCTCAAGGTTCTGAGTCCAAAAATGTAAAAATACATTTTTGGACTCAGAACCTTGAGATCTCAGAGGGTGTCATTTTTTGACCAATTGCCATACTTTCCCTGTTTTATATAACAGAGCTGGGAAAGTAATAAAATTCACATACTACCTAACATATTAAGTGTTGACACCATTAGGGAATGTGCGGATTGATTTAACTGAAGTGATACCAAGCGTGACATTACTCTCAAGTCAATTTTTTTCATAGACAGACTGCACTTATGATGCTGCTGTAATAAGTTAGACTAATGAAATCAAGCTAAATTGACATCTTAAATAATAATTATTATTATGAATATTGATGTTATAAAATCATTAAAAATAATGCAATAAAATTATTGACAGAAATAATATGCATGGCATTTTAGAGGTAGAGCTAATGATGACATATTACATCAAATCTGAGATGCACACTATTTTCAGAGTTACTAAAACCTGAAAAAGTTCATGTTAAATTCAAGTAAATATGGTAAATAATAACACAGATCTTACCACGCATCCTAAAGCACAACGGATAAATGTCAAGACGCTGCCTGAAAGAGAAGCTGACCCAACAACCATCAGACGTAATCGGCCGCCCATGCCCGCTCGAACCTGCTTGAAAACGAACCAGTCCCAAAATGTACTGTGACGAATTACAAACCTGAAATATTAAATAATCAATAATTTAACTGTAAAAATAATACAACATTAAGAGTAAGTATATTGTTCTCTTTAATAATACATGCAATATTTATAATCTATGTTTGATAAAATTTATTTAAAATCACGGCTATGTAAGAATTTTCAGATGTTTGCAATAAAATTACAAAAGGAAGACAAATTTACCAAAATGAGAGCAATACAACAAACAAATGTGAAGTATGAAATTATAGAAATAATTATATATTAGTATGTCTGTCATATTTCAAAAAGAATTTTATGAAGTTGATTCCAAAAGAAAAACTTTTAGTGTGTTATCTATATCTGTATTTGGAATCAAAAAGAGAGGTCTGCTCAAATATCTCATGAATAGAATGTCAAATGCCAAGAAAGTGTGGAACTTCAGTTCTTTGAAAACTTTTGTGTTAAACTGTAATTTTTCTTTGTATTGTAAAGAATTCAATGCACTTTGTCCTCATTACACTTCTTCATGAGTTACTTCTGGAGCAAGCATTACAATATGTTTCATCTATTTCAGAGAGAGTGAATTCTCCTGCTCACAATCCCTAAATTTGGATGCTATCATATACAGTAATACCTCGACTTACACGAACCCAGAGTTACATGATTTTCAAATCTCGTCAATTCATCTTTTGTTTGAGCACCACGCAACCCTTGATTACTCACTCTCCCCACACTATTGTTCAGCTGACATGTTCGGATGTGTCGTGCGGAATCGACACATAGCTACAATTTATTTTGTGTTATTTATTTCTGTATTTGTTATACCTACAGAGACTTGAGAGAGACTACTATGTCATCAAAATGAAGTAGAACTAATTCTTCTGCATCAAACAAGAAAAGAAAAACTTTTATCTTTGGAATGTAAAGTTAACATTGGGTATGTTCGTAAAGTCGAACGAGTTAAATGAGAATGACGTCATCGTTATTCCTATTTTGTTAGACTTTTCAAACGATTTGTTACTAACGCATTTAACTCGTTTGACTTCGATATTAAAGACTTCAATACAAAAATGAAAATTTGTGAATTGGCAAAGAAGTTTGATCTACCAGAATTGTCGGTCAGAACAATTATAAAAGGCAAAGAAATTCTCGAAGCTGTGAAAAATGCTCAATCTTTAAATTCAAGCATCATTCGTAAACGTCACAGTATTATCATTGAGATGGAAACAATGTTAAAATTATGGCGTAATAATCAAGTAAATGTGAAAAATTGTAAAATAATATAGGCCTAATTTGTTATACATATGTATTATCTAAGATTTTATTAAACATTTTTTTCTAAATTATTGTTTTCTTTAGTCTCCGGCCCCAATTAAAAATTATCTGTATGTATTTATATGTGAAATTATACCCTGACTTACACAGTTACTGCTCGGTCCCACCTATCGCGTAAGTTCGGGGTATTACTGTACAATTCTTCAAATCTAGATCCTTTAAATAAGCAACTCTGTTCTCAAACCTTCTGAATTTTTTCATAATTTCCAGGTTATGCACTTCTGATTCATTCCAACACATTTACAGAAAGGTGTTTGCATACAAGGGCTAAATTATACAAAATTCCTGAACATAAAATTTATGTAATTACCTGTCTAGATCAGCTTTTTTACTATTAAATGCTTTTTCTAACAGCCATTGTTTCCATTTGCTTCCACTAACGTTTGACTGAACCTAAAAACAAAAAATATTAAAAAATTATTTTATTATTTATTTATAAGCAAAATTAATTTTCACTAATATTTAAAATTTATATTTATAAATATATTACTTAATTCATAATTCTAAAAATTTTAATTGAATTATTATGAAATAATAATTTATATCCTACACTCCTCAAAGTAAAAGCACAACACCACAAAGGAATGTGTGTAGCCACAGGACCAGTAGAGATGATAAATATAAGCAAATGATTAAAAGGACAAACAAAGATATGCAACAGACATCTGTTTATTCAATGAGAAATATGGCAGTTATACATGCCACTATAAGGTTAGGCATATTATCAGTGAGGCAATTAATGGTTGCCTGAGGTATCCCTTGCCAAGCTGCATCTACTGTGGCATGCATATTGTCTATGGTACGTGAAGGTGGTCCCCAGAGCACCTTATGTAGGATGAGGTCCACAGGTGTTTGATAGGAGAGAGAACTGGTGAGACTGCCAGTCAAAAAAGGATGTCAATTCTATTCAGGCTGGTGAGAGTTCACCATGCAACATGCAATTGGGCAATGTCTTGCTGAAACACCATTTCGGATGCAACCTGCACCAGTGGCCAAACCACACATAATTCACTTGACATACTGGTCTGCTGTCAGTGTGTCAGAAATGTGCACCAGGACTGTCTAATGATTGAACATGATGCTTCCCCAAACCATGATGCCCAGTGGGGACATAGTGTGAAGCTCAGCAAAAAGGGCTGGCACAAAGCATTCCGTGGGATACAGCCACATTTGTCATTCCTCCACAGACAGAAGCAGGATTCATCCGTAAACAGTACCTGATGCCATTCAATGGTCCAGTTGCGATGCTGACAACACTATGCCAGGCTTGCAGTCCTCTGTCAAGTGGTTAATGGCACCCCTGTTGTGAATGGTTTGAATGGACATAGATGGACTACAAGTGGCTTTGGATGTCACATGCCATGGCAAATCCCAATGGGCCATTCAGCAAATCTGCCAGTCCATGCACACCATTGTGTGCTGATGCAATCCCCTTCCTCTTTGGTGTGTTTGCAGATATTCCTTTGTCCATCATGTCACCCATTGCTGGATGGTAGTCAGGTTGTGCCCAACATGCGTGGCAACTGCATGCATCAACAAACTGAGGTCGCTCAGCTTCAAGATATGTTCTTGTTCCCCAGCCATTAACTGATGGTATTCAGCCCACTGTCATCTCCAAGGCATTTTCTACACTTCTTCAAAAGTTCAGCTGCTGCAAACAGTCACTGATAGCATTTATGACCCCAAGCCAACTGCTGGTATTTTTAGCTCAAAACTTGGGTACCACATTCCACGAAATATGAACTTAATCATTTACATATTTATGTCACCTCTACCGGTCCTGAAATTTTCATGTGGCTACATGTATTCCTTCATAATGCTACAATTTCACTTTTGAGGAGTACAGTAGAGCGCTGTTTATCCGAATCAATTGGGGACTGGGGTTGTCGGATAACCGATTATGTACAAAAGAATACATTAACCTATCCCATGTTGAAATTCTTCTCTGTTGCATGTCGCTTTGCGTTGAATTTTCGTTGATGTTAAGCCTAACGTAAATTTCTTAAAATAATAATCGTAGCTATTGTATCATAAAAATTATTTCTTTATTTTGTACAAACAAAATAAATATATTGAAAAATATAAAAACAAAAAAATTATATTTTGGAAGTTAATCTAGTATCAAAAACTATAATATATAAATTTTCATCTACAAGTATGTATTTTCTAATATCAGGTATATTAAATTAAACAAAAAACTGTTTTCTGTAAAACTCTGTAGCATTATCTGTAAAGCCAGTATAATAAGTCCTGATATTAGAAAATACGTACTTGTAGATGAAAATTTATATATTATAGTAAGTCAAGGACACTGAGGCATTTTAATTAGTATCAAAAACATTTGATTCAGCACGACACAGTCCGACTGGAATGCTTTTGGTTGATCGGCTTTTGGATAAACAACGCTCTGCTGTATATAAGGTGTGTCCCATAACTATAAAGGCACAACTTGTTATGTAAATAAAAGCTAAACTAATCATCATATAACAAAACTAATTTAATTTTGAGGTAGTTACAACTTACAAATAAACATAAACAATATAATTACATGATTATTTAGTAACAACTTAACAATAAATTAATTTAAATCAAAATCATGTTTCTTGCTGTAAAAATATAAAGGCAGATTCAACTTTCTAACAATAGAGGTCATACGGTACTACAGTATAACTACCACATATTTAAAATGTTTATTTATGTTACATATTGATGTAAATGAATTGTTTTTCATCATGGGACATGAAAAACCCTTAACAGATGTTTAAAAGGGCAAGATTTCTGCTTTAAGAGATAAAAATTACTCAGTAAAAGCAATTACAAAAAATATTAATCATTCTCCAACTGTAATTGACAATTTCATAAAGCTTAGAGACAAATACAGACAAAAGAAATCAACAGGTCGACCTTCAAAGCTTACAAATAGAGGAAAATGTAGTATTTTGAGAGAAATCAAAAGCAACTAAACATCTTTACAAAAACTAGCATCAAAACTGGAGTTTAATGTATCTAAATCTATGATTAGAAGAATTGTTAGTACACGTCATCATCTCACCTAAGAAGAGAAAGCCTGCACCATCACTAACCCTTTCTATGAGCAAAAGCACTTGCAGTGGGCATGGGAGAAAATAGGATTGACAGCCACATAAAAGCACATCATCTGGAGTAATGAGAAGTTTAATTTCAATGTAACAGATGGTTGCACTTGTTATTGGCATGATTTGAGGAGCGAGGAAGAAATATTTTCAAAATGGCAGCAAGGGGGAGGGTCAGTGATGGTATAGGGTTTAGTTTGTTTGGCAAAACAAATATTGCATTCCTCATTGGCTGAATGAATGCAAATCATTATCAAGACATGTTAGAAAGTTATCTTTTGCTTTGGGCTAATGTAATTGCTGATGTAAATGTTGGAAATCATTGGTTTTTCCAACAAAATTCACACAGCTAAATCAACTTATGGCTGGTTTTTAAGTAATGGAGTCCCAGTTATTGATTGGTCAGCTCATTACCCAGTTTGAATCCAATGGAAAAACCTCTAGGGAATCTTAGCTAGAGCTGTATATGCTAATGGGTGACAACATAACAGTGTAGATGAGTTAAAACATGCAAGTAATATTCAGTGGAAAAAAATAACTATAATAATCCTTCAAAAACTTATACAATTGATGTCAGACTGTATCTACAAGGATATAAAGAAAAAGGGGAAGTGTATTTGTTATTACTTGTTTATATTAAAGTTTTGTAACGATACTATCGACTCTTCTAGTGATTTTGTATTATGCCTTTATATTTTTGGGACAGCAAGAAATGTGATTTTGATTTAAATTAATTTATTGTTAAGTTGTTAAACAATATANTTATTACTTGTTTATATTAAAGTTTTGTAACGATACTATCGACTCTTCTAGTGATTTTGTATTATGCCTTTATATTTTTGGGACAGCAAGAAATGTGATTTTGATTTAAATTAATTTATTGTTAAGTTGTTAAACAATATAATTACAAATTTTTTAGTATGTTTATTTGTAAGTTGTAACTACCTCAAAATTAAAATAGTTTTGTTATATGATAATTAGTTTAGCTTTTATTTGCATAACAAGTTGCGCCTTTATATTTATGGGACACACCTTATTATATTATTATTATAATACTAATCTAGTATAATAAACTAAATTTTTTCTAAATACCTTATCATATATTCTGTTTAATAGCCGAGGTACACAAGGAGATAAAGTAGGCCTCAAACTTCTCATATCCTCCACTAATATCTTAATGTCTCCTTGATAAAATCCTACTGATCCACCAGTCATGTAAAGAGCAACCTTTAATGAAACATTTTTTTTAAAGGTAATTTCATTCAAACATTAAATATGACAAACATATTTACCTGACAGCAACGTTCTAACATGTGAGCCAAGGGTAGAAATGAAATCATGACATCATTTTTAGTTGGTGCTATATTTCCCTGTATAAAAAATAAGTAAATTATGTGCTCTTTAAACAAAACACAAAAATTGTAAATGACTTACCAGTTGACTCATTACAGATGAAACATTTGCAATTATATTCCCATGAGTGAGCATGACACCTTTGGGAGTACCAGTTGTGCCGCTTGTATAACATACAACTGCCAAATCTTTGGGCGATGGTTTCTGTTTTAAAATATTTACACAATAACTATAAAGCTTTATAGATATACTCGTATAAATAACAAAATCGTTAAAAATTCTTTACCATTGGACTCTTTGGATTAGTACGCCCAGATTCCTAAAATAAAATATTATTATTATTATAAAATATTCTAAAGCAAATCATTCTAACATAGTTTTATTCTAAATAATTTCTTGATGTTGAAAATGTTGGACTTAAATTTTATCTAATCCCAAACCCTTCAAAACAGAGGAAACCCATTAAACATTAAGCTCTCTCTCTCTCATATGTGCAGTTGTTTTTATCATCATTTATTTGACAATTCAAAAATTTAACTAATACTCAAAATAAATCTTACATTTTTTTTTACAAATAAACAGTTTCACTTACATATTTACATTGAGAATAATAAACATATAATCTGTGATTGTGTGTTACATTTGTGAAAAGTACAGCAACACCATGAATTGGTCATGATTATCACTATTAAACCTAATAAACACTAACATTTTTTACTACAGACTTAAGGGATAATACCAGACTACATAAACCAGTGGCACATGACGAGCGAGTCAGAGTTGCCAAGTCTACTACTTGCTAACTTTTTATTTGATCACTTCATATTTTGTGAGTATCAAAACACTGAATTCAATAATAAAAATCCTGGTAATTATTATCTATAGTTTGCAATTCAAGTAAAATTTCCTTAAAATCAGTTCATGATTTATTTAACAATAAGTTTAAGAAAAAGTGTTTCATTTACATAATTTTATAGACAGACTGAAAATTCTATATTGTCGACCCCCCTATAACACTGTTGATTATTTCATTTTATATGAATTCCATGTTGTACGAGTCACTTAGATTTTACAAATACGTGAGCTGTTCACAGCCCGGCACATGTATTTGTGAAATCTAAGTGACTCGTACAACATGGAATTCATATAAAACGGAATAATAGGGGGGATCAACTGTATGTCAAAATAGTAAATATGTGAAGTTAAATTAGTTTAAACTAGTGTTTAATATTTATGTTAATGGAATAACATAATGTTTTTCTAATTGTTTGTTGTACAATTAGAAAACAAAATGTGTTTTCTAATTGTATTTATTGCTAAACTGATTAGAATTGTCCTATTATCAGCATTGTTTTTGCGAGACTATTGGTTTTAATAAAGAATTGGTTAATTTATACTTACTTCTACATCTTGAAATAATAAAATTTGTATTCCATGCTTTTCAGCTAACTGTTTTATTTCATCAGAAATATCCTTCATAACAATGATTGTTTTCAATGTGGGAATTTCAGAAATCTCATCCAGAAGTGTTTTAGCCTTCTCTTCTTTATCACAAATTACAATAGTTATTTCAGCTAAAAATAATTTAAAAAATAATCTGTAAATAGTTTATTTATACAAAAATTAATACATATTTAAACATGATTTTTATTGTGTCCTTACCTTGATTAATAATAAACGTACAAGAATTTGGACCCAAAGTGTCATACAAAGGAACAGCCACCATAGAATGATAGTAGCAAGCTTGCTCTGATATCACCCACTAAAAAGTAAAATAAATTTATACCATTTCAAACTTTTTTGATGATTAATATACTTGTTCTTTTACATATCAGTTCTACCTTGTATTGTTTTTGTGTGGTGTTTACAAAGAATACAAACAATGTATAGATATTTTCAAGCAGATAAAATACCAGAAGTGCTAAAGCAAGTATTATCTGACAAAGAAAGTGATGAAATGGATACTTTTGATGTAAAGTATGCAAACTTCATGGAATCAAACAAATTTTGTGCAATTTGTGTTTGTGAAGTAGATGCTGATGATGATCTTTGTAGGTGTTTGCATTTTGCAACCTGATCGTCCTTCATGTTCAAGTTACAGGAATAGACAGAGAACTAGAGTATCATCATCAAATAGGACAGTATTTTACATACAATTTAATATACAGTAATACCCAGAACTTACGCGATAGGTGGGACCGAGCGATAATCACTTAAGTCAAATTCGCGTAAGTCGGGGTATAATTTCGCAATTTGAGTAAAATCCAAGTCGGATGTATGTAAGCTAATAAATGTTCTTGTTAATCTTATCTCGTCTTTTGATTCGTTCACGGTTGCAAGAAATCGCCACATAGAGTCTCTCGAGTCTCCATAGATATAACAAACACAGAAATAAATAACACAAAATAAATTGTAGCTGTGTGTCCATTCTGCGCGACACGTCCAAACATGTAAGCTGAACAATAGTATGGGGAGAGTGAGTAATGGAGAGTTGCATGGCGCTCAAACAAAAGACGAATTGACAAGATTTGAAAATCGCGTAACTCCAGTTTCGTGTAAGTCGGGGTAGCGTAAGTCGAGGTATTACTGTACATAATTTTTTAACATTAAACTCACATGTACATATTCCTAAATATAGGTTTACGTAAACTGCAAATATAAATATGCCATGTGCTAGGTATTATATCCATTACATGTGTACAATTTCCTTATCTCTGAAATTATTTCCTTAATCTATTCACTATGTTGACTATAATTATGCAACAATTAAGAAAGAGTTTTGAAAAATAAATGCAAATGTAAATTCGTATAAACATAGCATATTTACCAAATAAAATAAAGATTCAGTGTTGTAAAAAGTACAACACTTGCTTGCTTACAAGAAAAATTGTTACTCACTTCACAGAAAGGTTAATCATTTAAAAACAAGCAAATACTTTACAAGTTAAGTTATTGAAGGCATTGAGAAGTACTTTCAATATCCATATAAATTTGGTCAAGTAGGAAGGAACAGCATCTAGGTCAAACCATCCATAAAAACTGAGAAACTGATCAATACTCAATCCTAGCTCTCTTGGAGCAGCATATCATCTATCCAGTCATCTATTATTTATATTATAAAACTATTTTTTATTATACATATTCTTATAATATATCATCTAAGTCAAGGTTTTTCAAACATTTTTGGCAACTACCACTGTCGAACTGCTGATATAACTGTATTGAGAAATAATAAAATTCAAATGATTAATCTGATGACCAGGGCAGTGAAGGCATTACTCTGAAACTAGTCCAGAGTAATGCCTCAAAAATTTTTCATAGGCAGAGTCAATCATGCTTTATTCCTCACTACCTGTTTACCCCATATTGTTGGTCTGGCCAAACCTATGATGGGCTCCTCTTAAGAGCACACAGGGAAGATAGAATTAATAATGCTTAATTTGTAAATTAATTCTTAAACTGTTTCATTGATACATTTGTCTAATCTAAATTAAAAAAAAGCTAACTGTCAGTCTATTGTGCTGTACATGATTTTATACTTTGTATGCTACTATGAGCATACATTCCTCATACAATCTGATATATCTACGTGTACCACCAGAGGTAGGCATACTGCACTTTAGAAGTCTACAATATCTTAATATTGCCAATACAAAAACTTAGATACTTATCTTCAGGAGTTAATTCAAGAATTCAAGAAAATTCAAAAGTTATATGGTAAATTTTTTCAAATTGTCACATGTGAAGTAATTTAATCAATTTATCAAATTATTTAGAATATATAGTCTTGAAGATAATTGTTATAACTTTCTACAGCTTACCTCAGCACAGTTCTGCGAATAAATACCAACATACGTAGAAGTTCCAGCCTTCACACCAATGTGAATTAAACCTGAACTGAAATTTTTTATCCTGTTCATTACCTAAATAAATCAATAAAAATAAAACTAATAAATCAACTTCATAATTTTAATGCACCTTATATTAAATATTACAGAACTTTAATATATACTACATTTTTCCTAATTAAATAAATATAATCATTTTAGATATTGTATACTAATATTTATTAAACATTAATTATTTTTATTAGACAAATTACTACTTTACTTCATTATAGGTTAGCCAATGATATCCGTGATCTTTGGATGGTCTCCAACCCAAACACCTTCCGTCACCTAGAACAAACATTTCATTAAGAGAAACATTCTGCACATAATAAATCGCTAATTTAAAGCGGCAAGTTGAGCTCCTACACAGAAAACTTATTTAACCCTATCTATTCCACAAGCCAGTGGCTTCCAACCAGGATGCTGTAACAATTCTTCAGAACTGCATTGAAATATAGTGCCAAACAGTGCTATAACACTTACAAATATTACTAAATGTATAAAAAGTGCAATAACTATTGATAAAGTAGTAAAGGTGCCACAAGAAAAGTTATTAAATTGGGGTATCACTATTAGAAAAAAAGCTGAAAACACTGCCATAGGGACTAACCTTTTCCCAAAATACTCATCCCCAGTTTAACCATACGAAGGAGCACAGGACATATTTCTAGGTCAAACAACTCACAAATATTTCCAAAGATACAGCATTCAGATTTGAATATGGACCTATCAGAGGCAGATCAAAATCATTAGGCAATTGGCACATTATGACTGACAATCAATTCAGAGTCATGTTGCCATGACAATAGCAGTAGGACAACCAACCACTAGTTCCAATCAGACAGATTTAAAAAATGAAGTATTTGTAGTCGAGTCACAGAGCTTTGAAGATACAGTTAATCAGATTTTGGATTTATGAAGATTTTTTGGAATTATTAATAAATGAAGTAATATAATATATACAAATTTATGATATTAGTCTGGCAGATTAGAAGGCATTTTTAAAAAAAAACTACAAAAAATTCAATAATTAGCCAGTGTTTTAATTTGTAATACTCATTCTGATTGGTAATAAAAAATCAGTCATTAATTTAATTAATTAATTAATATAAGCATACTCAATGCAAATGCTTTTACTAGTAGTTAGTCATAGTATGAAATTGTCCTTACTCTCTCAGCCATCTGACAATGATAAAATTCTTTTACACAGAAATGAATTTTGACAATTGCTATTTTTGTACAAATATTTGTTAAAACTAAATTAAGTGCAACTTTTTCAGATTATTTCATAACATTACACAAAAATACTCATTAACATATTTAAACTTCACGTATAGCACCAATGCCAAAGTTATTATTTGTAAAGTATTAAAAAGCACAAAATATGAAAAATGTTTCTTGCAATCAAGAATAGAACAGGATTAACAGGAAATACACATCAAAATAAAAAGTTGAAGAATTATGGGTCTCCTGGCAAATTTTGATCCAGCTGTGAACTATTGATTCTTGCCACAGACATCAAGATCACAAACTCCCAATGACTTTACATACATTCATCAGTTCAACTAGAACTTTGTAATAATGATGATAATTCTAATTTCTTTAATAACCAATTTATTATCTTATGAAAATTTATCACCCCTTCAGGATGTCCAAAAAGTTATTGTGCAGTCAAAAAGCTTAAAAGAAAAAAATTGAACTCTTATATACAATATTGCAGTTTCTCCTACAGAAAATACCAGAAATATCCCCCGAGGCATGAAGACATATCTGCACACAATGCACATATTATTGAATGTATTCTATAGGATGGTGGGAGCGATCTTTTCAACGTGTTGGGTAATTGCAGTCTTCAGCTCCTCCAGCATGTGCAAATTTTCTCATACACCTGTCCTTCAGTGAACCCCAGAAATACTGCAAAGTGCAGGACATACAACATCATACATATAACTTTAATGTCATTACAAATTTCTCACTGCACAGTAACTTTTCAGACATCCAGCATATTTGTTAGCAGCATTGAATGCTTATTGAAATACTGAAACTCTTGCAAATTACTCTTAAAAATTATGATAATGCTTATACTGTATAACACTACCACAATTCAACATACCAATTGGACAATCAGAAATTAATGCCCACTTTTATGAAATAAAACTGTTTATTAAATAATTTGGTGCTAAAGATAAATAATGCTACCATCTTGTAATTAATATGACTAGAATTAAATTAATAAATAAATTAGAATATCTATAAGATAAGATTGATGTAGAGCAGGAATGTCATTCAATTATGTCAATTCTATTTGATTTTCCAATTAGTGTATTGAATTGTGGTAGTGTTAATAAATTTTTAAACATTTCCAAGCAAATGGATAGTAGAATGACCTTGACAACATTGTTTTTTAGGAAAAATTGAATATTTTATTATAAAAATAAACTTGCAAGACTGCAAAAGCACAAATTGTAAAAAGGTGGTCATTTAAATGGACAAGATATACTGCAGTTTAAAGAAAAAAAATCAAATTACGATCTATCAGTTATTTTCTGAAATAAACTTAGAGCAAATGGTACAATTCATATTCCATTTCAAAACATCAATGGTTATTATTATTTTAGAAAAAACATACAAAGCATATTTTGAACAATTTGCACTAATTATGAGCATTTGTTAAAGGAATTTCATTATTAATTATTGTGTACAGCACAAATTCAAATATGCTTGATTCCAATAACTGTAAAGTTGTCTGTATGAATATTCATTATTTTCTTTGAATGGATTTATTATGATTACAACACATGTTGATAACATTCAGTATCTTAACTAAATACTTAATATTGTTTTATTAACTCATAATTGCTAGCGACAGGGTCTCGGTGACTGATGCTAGTATCATGCATGATACAGTTACATGGTAGTGGAGAGCTATACACTTTATTATGCTCTGATAAATCGGTCATTTTCTGAGATGTGTAGCAAGTGGTTGCCTTGTTATCAATGATAGAGATAATAACATATACAGGTTACACTGATCATTGGGATATTTACCTTACCAGTGGAGAACTTGAAGATAATAGACAGTAAAGAATTTTTTAAAGAACTTGAGGATAGTCTTTATTATGCTAAATATCATTATATGCTAATAAATACTGTATATTGGTAAGTAAATAATTTTTAAAAATATTTCTCTGTATCAACATTTTATATAGGGTTACAGTTACCCAATAGCAGTTGTGTTAAAATTATTTTTTGGTGCTTATTAAAATTATTTTATGAGATTATTCTTATTAAAAATTTTAAAAAAATGCACCAAGTCTTGTGGTGAGATTCAAGTAAAACAGATTCGTAATAAGTAAATTTTTGTCATATTTATAACATAACAGTTATTTGGGAAAGAAGAAAACTTACCCGAGATTCTCACACCACGACACATGGCCTCGAATAATGTTTTTGCATCTTCATATAAATATTCTAAGTGTTTTTTATTCTTGCGTAAAAAAGATTCTCTAATACCTTCATCATTCTATAAACAAACAAGTACTCATAAAAATCATTGTTACCGCCAACAACATAAAAATAAAGAAACTTACACTTACTGGTGCGACTTCTGACTGACTGTCTAATTTAACAGATGGTCTGACTGTTGTCAAACAAGACGATAAATAAATAGTTACAGTAACTGCTGCCGCACCCGCCACAACGATAACAAGTGCCCCAAGAGGCCCACCAACATATTGAAGAATACTATACATATCTCTGAGTACCTAAAAAGGAATAAAATGTCATTATAAAAACTGCATTTGAATACTTGTAAGAAAGTTTTTACGTGTTATGCCATTCTTTCAAATAATTAGGAAAACCTTTAAAGCATACTATTTAATCTGAATTTAAAATTAACACAATCATACAATATTAATAATATGTGAAAAGCAGGGGAAAAAAAATTATCCAAAAGATTCTTCACAAGTCAACTGAGTATGAATTATCTGGAAATTGATTTTGGTGCAGCCTAATAATAGAAAATATGAAATTTTCACAATGATTAATAGTCATCTTCTGCAGGGCCACTATTTTACTTTGTATACAAACTTAAAAAAACTGCAATAAATAATTTTTACATGATAATTTTTATTTTGAATTCAAAATTTCATCATTACATTGAAAGACTGATGCTTGTTTTTTAGTAATTTGACAATTTTTTTTATTATTTCTTATCATTCTTACACATTAAATTACTATGTCTTAACCTTTTTCTTTATTATTGTACGAGGAGGCTTCAAAAAGTTCATGGAAAAAGGATAGTATAAAAAAAGATTTCAGTTATGATGTTTATTTTTCAACATATGCTCCATTATGATCGATACACTTCTGCAAATGTTGATACCAGCCTTTAAGTTCGTCTGAGTAGAACTGAGGGTGTTGTGATCTGAACAATGTCAGAACCACTCTTTTTACATCTTCAGCTGACAAAAAATTGGTACCTTTCAGCGACTTATCCATTTGTAGATTGTTGACTTCTTTGGAGCGTTATCACCATAAACTTGTTTCAGAGCATCAACGATTTGCCTATTCTTTCAACAAAGTTTCACCATGAACTTTGTTTCTTCTGGTCTCAATTTTGGTGGATTCCATGTTGCTTGAATGACGCTTGGCTTTCAACTGGCGGCGCTGTGTTCTTACCTGCATTTAAAGGTTCATGTTTGAACATGTTATAGTACATTGGTATAAGAATGTTTGGGTGCATTGAAATCAAAATCCTTCCAAACAATTTTTAGTTATGGACTTTTTCCATGAACGTTTTGAAGCACCCACGTACTATACTAGAACTGAAATTATTTTTAGTTTAAGATATTTTACGTTTATTTTACTTTTCTTAAGATATTGTTTATTAAAATTGGGTAAAAAGCTAAGATTATTACATAGATATTTAGTATTATTCAATTAAATTTCACAAAAAAACAAACAGTTTCCTATTGTGTTCTCCTGTTCATGAACAAGCCTGAAACTAACTAGGATCCTGCCTCTCTCCAAAAGCCATAAAAACAATTTTTTCATCTTTCACCACTTAGAGAAAATTCTTTAATTTGTATCGAACTTTCTGATCTGTGATTTGTATACAAGAAGCATCAAATGACTCTGCTAACTGTATTTGTTAATAAATATTAGAGCATATTTGCTCTGAAAATGTTAAACAGAATTGGCATTAGTTGTTTTGCTTGACTACACTCAATTTACAAAATGAAAATTCTTCCATGTTGGACTCATTATTATTGTATAGTGTATTGCTATATGTTCTGAATTATCTAAACAAAAACATCTTTTTTCCAACAAATAGATCAATGTTTCCTTAAGGAAAGAAATTTCATTATCTTGTTTTCTTTTGTTGGTATATGACAATGAAACACGTGGACAATCTGTTGAGGGAGGATGACTCATAGGAAGACTTTCTATGAGAAACTGGCACCTATTTAGGTGTTATAAATGTACAGAAAAACTTGGAAAACTTCCTTGTAGCCAGTCCATTGACAAGGCATGAATCCATGACTAACTACCAGTGTTCAGCAGTTTTATCCACTTGGGCAATGGTGGGATCTATGTTTTCTTTTATTCTTGTATTGATTGCAGTTCAAAATTTTGATTCTTTTTTATTCTGAATGCAAGAAGATGAATGACTGCCACAGAAATAAAGGAAGAAAACACAAATCCTATCATCATCATTTGAGGAATGTCCTTTTCTATTGAAACATTATCTATCTGATAGAACTGTGACAGACATATTGCCAGACAGATTGAAATATATGTTTTACATAAGTCTGGTCAGACAACCTCAGAAAAACCCAGGGAGCACACAAATATTTCTGTACTTCCCCAATGATGTGTACATGTTAAAAATAAATTATTTGTTTCCTAAGCATTATGCTTATGATTTTGTGCGTGATACAGAAAGTATAATAATAAATATAGTAGAATAGTAGAGAATAATGTCAATAAATCAAATTTTGAAGTTTAATGAAGTTTAATTCAAACACTTTGATTTTAGATGATAGCAAAGTTTAATCTTAAACAGTCTTAACTCCTGATAATGCAAATATAGACAAATGTTTGAGTTTTCTATAAAATTAAATGCATTTCAAACTTCTTTTCTCAGAAAAAAATGTTTAATGAGCTTCGTTAACAATTCTAAATTTAAAATCAAATAAATAAGAGCATTACCTACCAATTAGCAAATTTAAATTGTCAGTAAACTCTCTAACCACATTCCTTCAACAGACAGAAAGCCTAATTTTAAAAGTTTTGACCAGCTGTATTTGTTTACACACATAAAAAGCATTATTATAGAAAGACAGACAACTTTATATTTTCAGATTTAAAAATTTAATAGTTTAATCCCATTTATTAAATTATAAAATTAAGAATCAACAAAATGTTGATTTCAGAAGTAATTACAGGCAGACATTCTTATGATCAGTTCATGATAAAAAAAAAATAATCTTCACTTTTGCTAGCTAAACAAATGACAATAACTATTTTTTAAAATTGTGACCGGAGTGTCGGCACCTTCTTTAGCATCTTGTCAGGACTGACACCACCGTGTCCCGATTGACACGGAAGCTGAGACGGCATGTTGATTCAGTCATGCAAGCGGCTGCATGCACAGGCGATCGGATCTGGGATGGAGATCTGGTACAGCGTACTGGAAGTGAATCACTTGGGTACCAAATTAACAACTAATAACAATTTAATTACATAGACAACATGATACAATTTACAATTTCATTACAGTTTGTTAGGTCTTAACTTCAAGGAATCTTTGAACGAAAGTGGTCACAAGAGACAGAGTTTACATGAGATTCGCATGATGATAAATACCTTGGGGTGATGATGTTCAAAAATAGTCTGATATTTGTTCTTGGGAGGTGTTTTTGATTGCGTAGCAATGTATCTTAGTCCCGACATAGAGTTCATCTTCAAAATGCATACCCGTAGATGAGGAAGTATCAATTGAATTGAAGTACATTGAGTGCAATTAACTTTTCATTATACTAACAAGTATCCAAACTAGACTAATTGTATTAATAGCTGCTTGAGATCCATTTCATGGATTAGACAGTTATTAATTTTTTGTATGAAGTACATCCCTCCTCTTCTGATCTCAAGTATTAATATAATATTGAAGATCAGGTATCAAATATATAAGAATAAGGAAGAGGCAACCAATTTCTCTCATACAGATCCAGTACTACATTAGAAACAAATACACTGTTATTCAATCAAGATGACCAGACACTAAATAATAGGTTATATTGTTCCCAGTTGTACCAAATATGCTCTTCTACAGTAACATTGTAGAAGACAGCTGCATCATGTAACAGATTAGCAAAGCCATGCTTAAGTACCAAATAAAAGCACCCAAATTAATACTAACTAGTTTGTAATTAATGAATGAATGAATGCAAGAGTTTACCTCAACTCCAAACCTGGAAATAGTTGATGCTCCTGTAGACAGACAAAACATTTCAGTTTTTAAACTGCTTGTTTCACTTATCCAAAAAAAGTTCTTAAATCAATAAAAGTATTTTGTAGAGTTATCAATTGTCAGAAACTAATTAACAAGTAATAAGAATTTTTTCTGCCATATTTTGTATTCACCATTCACAAGGAAATTCCTCTTATGAATGGCAAAGATAGTAAACAGAAAATCAACAGTCATTTAATGAACACACACATTTTAATCTGTGGGAATGCTTACTGAAAGACTACACAATGAATGTAAAATTTTAGTTAAAATAATGACAAGTAAAATTTATTTAAAACAAAATAACTGGCAATATAATTGCTCACTATATCTATGCAGAGCAAAAAATTTCTGACGAATAATATTTTTAACCACATAGAAAATGTTTAGCTTTACTAGAATTCAATTTTCTTTATTATTAAATGACCAAACATTGAATATATATTAACATAAGAACATTCATTCTGTTTTACTTTAAATGTAATAAAATATTTTTCTATTTATTCAGGCCAACTTGATGCAGAGAATCCAGTTTTATCCACTCTACCACTGGTTGGCTCAAAAGTAAACAAGCTGGCATGCTCTTATGAGAATGGAAACACATTTGATGCCTTTCCTTATCATTTACCTTTTGCTTTATAGAAATTAAACAAAACAAAATATACAGAAAATATTCTAATAAACAGTAACAGTAAGGAAGCTAGAATATTTGCAAGCCATTTCTTCACAATATATAATTAAATATGTTTTCAAATTAAAATTTATTATGCAAAACTTTTTATTAATTCATTACATGTAAATACATTTTTACAACATACAAAAGAAAAATTATTGCAATGGATATACAAGTTCATTGACATGTCCTACATTACTAAAACATATTAAAGCTTAATGTTTATCAATGAAAATACCAGCATCATCAATTTAGAAAATTAACTAATTTCCTATTCCTAAAGATTTAAAGAAACTTTCAATTTAATTTATATAAATTATTGTTTTTCTTAACTTAGAAAGTATAAAATTGCATCACTAATTACACATTTATTTACAACACAATTGTTACAAAAAAGAAATTTCCAATTTACTTTTAATTATTTCTATCTTGCTTTGTAACAGACTTCAATTTCTGTTTTATAAAAAATTTGTTCTCCTTCACTAAATAAATGTATCAAAACTATGATGAGAAATACATTTTATGTACTTTAAGTTTATTATATAAATAAATAATATTCATATTAATTATTTTGT